ATATGCAAGCAGAAACCATTGGTAATGAAAAGAAAGTAATTATAAACAGTCTCTAATCAGCAAATACATGCAATCTCTATTCTGCATTGATCAAAACATGTTGAGGTACATCTTACTTTGGGAGTTGGTGTTCCTGTTAAAAAGTACAGAAATTGATGCTACATAGAGAAGATGACACCAATGTGCCACTATCAAAAGTTAACTGTAAGATTCAGCTGCCAGCAAGCACCCACCTCAGGAAAAGGGGGTTGTCAATTTCAATATGTTAATTGCAGCATCAACACGGGTCTAAGGATTTTTGTGCATGGGTTTCCCAGGCTTTCAGGAACTCAGCAGTGAAAGAAATATAGAGTTTCTTTCACTGTAACAAATAAAGGAGCTGAAGAAACAACAGCCAAACATTCCATTAAATATCAAAACTCACAGCTGCTCTCCTGCTCAATTTTCTGAAAATTCTCTTTCTCAACTTGAAAGGTTATTCTCCATGATTTGGAGTTTGATACAGCTGATATTGGATGCTGCTGTTGCTGGTTTTCTTTCCACTTCAAATGAAGAAGTAGCCGGTGGAACACCAGAAGATCACCAACGGTGTGAACATGGCCAAGAGGACCAGTAACAATCTAGTCCTTACAGACTTTCCTTTCCACATCAGAGAGACGTGCTTAGAACAAAGAGAGTTGCAATTTGCAAGAGGTGATACCCACAACGTGTTACACTAAGAGGATAAGCATCCTGGACATGTTGGAACACCAGTCTCTCAAAAGCCTCAGGGTCTCTCGTCAGTTGCAACCAACTGGAGGACAAGTTACTACCAAGGGCATTTAGAGCCACACTTTGTCTATCACCACCACCCACCACTTCTCTGCATCTGGCTCCTTCTGCATCTCTGCTGGAGTCATTTGCAGGTTATCAATGCTTTACATCCTGTGCTAGTATACCATCCCTGACCTCCTCACTCCTTGACTTGACTGGCTGGTGGATTGCCAACAAGAGACAATCATTTGAAATGTGGTTAACAAGCACTCATCAGGAACCCTAACAATGAAAGTCCTGTGATAACTAAATGTATCACAACCAAGGACAAAGCAAGAAGTTCCACTTCTGCTTCCTTACAAATCACGAGGGTCCCTTCAATTCTCCTTCTTTGGCGTTGTGTTAAGACCAAGAATGGCTTTTTTCCAGATTCGAGTTGTTTTGAGCTGAGTAAACAGTCCAGTGCCAGATCTGCACACCCTGACACATGGCGTAGTTGGGTTGGTGGGATGCTTGGGTTTTTGAAAACTCCTTCTGCTATTTGTGCTTGGCCTCCACCTGGTCTTGTTGGAGATGCCCAAGCTGTGTGACATCTTCGCAGGTGCTTCTTCTCCAATTTGAGCATTCTTGGACAAGAGATTCCCACGAGGAAGTGGGAATGCTGCATTTTTTCATGGAGGCTAGGAGGACATCTGTGAAACATGTTCTTAGCTCTCCTGGTAATTACTTGCAGTGATGAAACTCAGAGTAGAGAGTTTGTTTTGTTATTAATTCCCAAGATATATCCTCCACAGATCCATCACTTATGTTAGCCACTGTTTTTATGTGCCTGTGGAAGCTCTTGTTGTTTGTTTTTATATCTCTGATCAATTTCCTTTCCTAATCAATTGTCTCCCTCTCCATTTGCTTTTTAGTCATCCACCGCTGGTGCCTTAAAAAATCCCAATTCTCTAGCCTAACACTGTCTTTCACTATTTTGTATGCCTTAGTTTCTCATTGGATACTCTTCTCAACTACATTTATTTACCATGGGTGGTTGACATTTTATATAGTTGCTTGACAGCATTTCGCTCAGTTCCTTCAATGACAATGTTTGGTGACGTACATTTTTCTTGAGGGCTGATATGTGACTTCATGTTTCTTTAAGGTGATTTTTAATCCCCAAAGTTGTGCTAACTCAGGAAAGAGTACTGTTGCACATTGTAAGTTTGATTGCGGGCCAGGAGAGTTCGATCATCAGAAAATATATGTTCGTGATTGAGGTTTCCTTGTGTCCTTGTATGAGAATGAAGATGCTGGAGATTGAAAATGACCTCCTGGAGTCTAGGAGCATACATAAACCTCCTCCTTAAGCTCTTCTGTTGCCTGCTGCAGCAACATGAAGGTGGGAGTCAACACAGTTACAGCAAACACACATCCTTGCTTTATTTCACTGGAGATTGAAAAAGGATTGGATGCCTCATTGTTATGCTTGATTTGTCCATAATGATGTTGATTATTTCATTACAGCCAAGAAACTGGGTGGGTGTCTAGGTCTTACAAGGATTTTCTAAAGTCCATTTCTGCTCACTGTTTCAAACGCCTTAGCGAGGTCTATAAATGTGACTTTTAGTCCTTTGTTTGTTCATGACCTTTCTCTTGTATTTGTCTGACAGCAAATACCCAGATTGTGGTGCCTTTGTCTGATCTGAAACTACACTCTCTCTGAGAGGTCCTCTTCTGCAATGGGAGGCACACACTTGTTCAGAAATATTCTAGACAGGATCTTCCTAGATATAAAAAGAAATACAATCTCATGGAAGTTGAAGTAGTCTGACTGTTGTTTGTTTTTGTACAAGTTGTTAATGATATCTTAAATATCCTATTGAATCTTGTACTGTTCCTAGCAGGTCATGAAAATTCCCTGGTGCTTTAGTACGCAAGACAGGGCCACCACACTTCAAGGCTTCAGACAGAATTTCATCAACAACATTCCCAGAGGTGATCTTCATGTGGTCAATGCCAGAAATAGATTCCTCCAGAGTTTGACTCTTGTCCAGTTCTTTTTGTGTCAGTTGTTGGAGACGGCTAATGGCACTATCACAGGTTGTATACAACAACCAGCCGTTCAGTACTGACACATGCATCAGTGCACCTCAGGGTTTTGGAAAATTTGAAATGCTGGTCCATATGCGAATGTTAGTAACAAAAACAGAAATTGCTGGAGGAATAAAGAACTCAGCAGGTCTGGCAGCATCTGTGGAGAGAAAGCAGAGTTAACATTTCTATTCCAGTCTTCTTCAAAACTGATTGTAGCTGGAAAAATGTTGGTATATACGCTAAAGAAGGGGAGGGGGGGTGTGGGGAGCATAAATGATAGGTGGAGATGGAGCCCAGAGAGAGAGAGAGACAGAAACAGTTAGGCAGACAAAGGAACGAGTAAAGGTCAGCCTGGGAGAATGAAGAGTTGCTAACGGGAACAATTAGTGGCTGACAATTGGTTGTTTGTAGTAGCAGCCCATGTGATAACAACACCTGGTGTATGGGGGTTGGGTAAAGACATGGCAGAAGGTGCACCAGCCTTAAAATTGTTGAACTTGATATTGGGTCCAGAAGGCAGATTTTAGTGCTTCATTGAAGCCTATTTCTTTATTCTTCCACAAAATATAAGCATCACTAGCAAGACTAGCAATTGTTGCCCATCTTGAATTGCTCTAGATTAGAGATAATGCACTGTTGCGGATCTGGGGTTGCATGTAGGTCAGACCAAGTAAGGACAACAGATTGTTTTTCCCCTAAAAGACTTGGTGAACCAGATGGACTTTTACAATGATCAATAATAGTTGTCATGGTCACAATTGACTAGCCTGTTCATTTCAGATTTACTTACTGAATTTAAAGTCCGCTACTAGTCATGGTGAAAGTTTGACCCACGTCCCCAGATAATTATCCTGAGCTTCTGAATTACTAGTCCAGTAACATTGCCAATGTAGCACCAACTCTCCTAATGTCACTATTGCCAGCAGACTGATGAGTTTTTCCACAAATGTTATCCACCAAACATTTTGGTTGTTTTAGAGTACTGCATGCATGGAGGCAATCTGGATTTTCCTCTTGGCTGAGCCAGGTCAGCGTGTTAAGCTGACCTTTTTTTATCGAAAACACATCTTGGATTTCTTTTATTATTTTTATCAGACAATTCCCTATACTTCTTGGTGCGTAATCCGATAGTCTTGTTAGAAGTATTCTACACAGCAGCCTGAATGTGTTCCCAGAGTTCTCCTGGAGTGGAGTCAACAGTGAGGTCACTCTACTCCATAAGGTTGTTTCATATCTATTTCTTTAAGATGAGCTTTGCAAATTTCGGACTTAAAATTTCTTTGATGGGTTGTTGTCTCTCGGGCTGTTCTTGTGCTTAGTCTTGAAATCTTGGCTTTAAACAAATAAGATGGTGGTCTATACAAGAGTCTGCATTCGGCATGATTCTAGTATGCAGGACGTTCTTTGCAATGCAAGGAAGGTATACTGTTCTGTCGGGCTTCTTGGCCTGAGAAGTGGAGCTCACTCATTGCAATTATATCAATGTCTAGTCTGGATAACTTGTGAACCACCAGTACTTCTCAGTGCTTCTCTGCCATATTACCTTAAATCCATGCTGCCATTCACTTTAGCCAACTTTGTCTTCATACCCACGTAATTGCCTTTATTTCTGCGAAGACAGCATATTTAGTCTTCCATTTCTGATCCTCAAACAGAACAGTGCTTTCCATCTCCTTTGTCCTCTGCTCATACCTTCCCAACCTACCTATTGTCAGTTCTCACACGCATTTTTTTCTTTCATTCTGTGACTAGTGAATGAGAATATACTTCAAAATCTTCTCAATGCACTTGGTTTTAATTATGTCCCTTTTAGATACTGAATAGAACTTAATAAAAATTTATTGTGCCTTGGGAGAAAAACATACAAGTTGCAATTACTTGCTGATGGCTTGAATGCAACAAAGTGAGTTGTTTGTTCATGGAAAATGATCCACTGTTTGAAAACAATGTAAATTTGAATTGTGCCTTGTTGCGGAAATGTCAACTATATTTTTGGAAAAACAAACTGCATGTTGTAAATCAAATTTAATGAACCCAAAACATGGGTTGTGCTTTTGAAACATTTCAATGATTGTTTGTGTTTTTCTCATTTACTAATTCACGTATATTCCCTTATAAGAACTTGAGAAATACACCTGTGCGATTGCAAAGAGTGAAGGACAACTTACAAATCAAATCGGAGATTTTGCCGCTCTTCAAAGAAGTAATCTAGAATGAATTTCCGTACAAAGTCTGGATTTAAGGTGTTGTCGATTACTTCTGTTCTTCCAAACTGCAAAGAAATGTGAGAGTGTTAGCTTCCCTGTCTACATTAGACAGATTGTAAAAGCAATGCACAGAAATTGATTTGTAAATGGACAGTTTAATGGGTTCAACGCTGCCTTTGAATTCTGAGACCAAGATTCAAATTCAGTTCAGATTGCATGATAATTATAACAGTCCTGTAGGACATTAGGTTTTGACTGTTTCAATCCAGTTAATGCCAGGATAGACCTATAGCCTAAAACTCCCTTCAACACATACTATCTAGAAAACTTATGCCAGGATTATTTGTATTGGGAAATGACAAAATGTCACATTAGGGCAGTGGAACATACTTTTCTGAGGTAGCAACTGAAGCATGTTATTAGGATAGAGTAAAGGGAATGTTACTCTGTATCAGGCAATATAATCCTTCAAATTTGGTTGTTTGGTGTCAATTGCGGATGCTTGACTTGTAGAGTTCTACTTTCCAGCTGTGGTATCCCATGCCCAAATGACCAGAAAACAGTTAAAGACAATAAATGGTGCAATACCCTAACTGCCTGAAAAACTTGTACCTATAAAAACAGTACCAAGAAATTGAAACATGGACAAAAAATAAAAATCGCAAGCAACTGGGTTGGCACGGTGGCTCAATGGTTAGCACTGCTGCCTCACAGCGGCAGGTTCAATTCCAGCCTGTCTGTGTAGAGTTTGCACATTCTCCCCTTGTCTGTGTGGGTTTCCTCCAGGTGCTCCAGTTTCCTCCCACAGTCCAAAGATATGCAGGTTAGGTGGACTGGCTATGCTAAATTGCACATAGTGTCCACGGATGTGTAGGTTATGTGGATTAGCCATGGAAATGCAGGTTTACAGGGATAGGATAGTGAGGTGAATCTGGGTGGGATGCTCTTCAGAGAGTGTGAACTTATTGGGCCAAATGGCCTGTTTCCACACTGTGGGGGCTCTAGGTCCTATATATTAAAGGATGAACCATTTCAGTTTCAGTTACTCTTTTTCAGGACAAAATTTAATACTCAACATAAATGTTACTGCAGCCCACTGAGTAATCACATCATTTGTTTACATATTTGAAATGAAGCAGCATATTTGGAATGAAGGGTAAATGCTTCACCTTGCCTTAAAATAGAGACGTTGCATGAACCATTTTAAAGATAAAGACAAAGACACTGAACACAAAAAAGCCATTTTGGGCTATCAGGATTGCTAAGTTGACAGGTCTCGTGAAACTTTCAATCCAATGGCCTTTAAAATTACTTACACTCTCTTTGAAGGTAAAAATCTAGGAAAGTGCATGTACAAAGGTGTTTTGTTGAGAACTCCAGCATTACAGTTTAACATTATACTTTCCATAGTTCTGGTTCAAGTGTTTGTATTCTATGGATGGCATTTCCCTGTCCTACAGAGGATATGAACCAAAGTGTCTGTTGAGCGTCTGCTCATTATAATTCACTAGCATTTCTAAATGCAGCGACCCAACTCTCACGCATTAAGACAACAACACTCTGACCAGAGTTGACTTATCTGGTTGAATTTACTCAGCTAACTAAAAGTGAGAGTTAACCATTCCTTCCATACCTAATTTTCTTACCGGCTGCACAAACTTGGGAGTCTGGTGCACTGCAGCGACTTCTGCAACTGCAGCTTTGAGGAGAAATTGCCTTTATGAGAACTCCCTAAGCAAATACATCATTCCCACCAATACATGGGAATATCCTTCCCCTAGAACACACAAACTGGAGAACAGTCATCTGCAAAAGGTGCAAACCGCTACAACTGTCACTGAGTGGAGCACATGGATGCCGAGTGCAAGCAGCAGAGGCAGCACACAGAATACAGAGTGATCCAAACACACACCTCATCAAACACCGCCAGCCCCATTTACGGCAGAAACTACAGCTCCAGGATTGGACTAATGAGTCACCGTAGAACCTACTTCCCCAGAGTGGAAGCAAGTCATTCTCAACCTGATAAGACTTCCAAAGAAAAGGACTAACTAATCATCACTGTTTTCTCATGGTGTACTGTGTCCTTTCTAAAATTGGTTTTCTTGTATCTCAGCTTTGATACATACAAGTTGAAAAGTTTCAACTTCATGTCTCGTTTTAGCAATGTTTAAGTTTCTTTTACTAAGAAGCAATTTTTTTTTGGAAAGGGTTTCATTAATGGACAATCTACTGTGAATACATACTTATTATTTTATGAGGAATAAAGGCATGTTCTGATTTATGGGGAAAAATCACTAATGGTTAGCTCTTGAAGGAAAAAGAAATGATAAAGTGTGGGTCTTGGGAGATACAGTTTGTTCAGGAAACATGGTAGTAAGAAGTCTTCAAAAGGATTGTAAGGTTTTACAAAGGACTCTTAGTGATGGGCTTTTCAGAAACAGGAAAGAGATGAGCTCAGAAGCCACTTCCAAGCAGGTGTTTCCCAAGCTGAAACCAAAACCAAACAACTTCAACTAAATGTTCAAACAGAAAATAGCTGTCTCCCCATTCTAAATTCTGTGTTTTCCCAGAACTAAATCCAAGCAATCAAGCAGATTTAACCATGAGGTTTTCAAGAAATGTCTTTTTTTAATAAAAAAGATAAAAGTCTCACTGATCATCATGTTCTTCCAGCAATCCTGCTAAAAGAAAACAATCCAGATAATTTCACAAAACTTGAAATCAACTGTTCTTCCACAATCCTTCAATATGAAGCCTACATAAATAGAAGGTGTTTGAAACACTCAGGCGAAAGGCAACATCTGTAGTGAGAAAGTTTCCTCTCCACCTATCCTCTCCTCTATCCATCTTCTATCCGCCTCCCACTCTCTCCCTATTTATTTCAGAACCCCCAAGGCCCGAAACGTCAGCCTCTCTGCTCCTATGATGCTGCTTGACCTGCTGTGTTCATCTAGCCCTGCACCTTGTTGTCTCAAAGCTTTATCTTTCATTGTTCGTGATATAACTTTTGTATTCTGCACACTGTTTAGTATTTTAAAGGATTTGATTTTAACTTGGTTTTGCTTTCTTCAATGTGAGTAGCTGGACAGAAGTTGGCGATACATTTGAGTTTCAACACAGAGCAGAAGTTGTCAGCAACCTTGAACCATTCTACAAAGGGGCAATGTCACTAATTTTCTTTTTTCTTATCATCATGTCTACAGTCAAGGAACAGTGTCCAACCTTGAGAAAGTTGAAGATATAATCCCTCACTTTATAATTTTAAAAATGAGTGCTACAGGTACTCAAATACTAAAATATAAAAAGAGCTGTTAATGGCAAGACGTTGAATGATTGCAATATTAATGATTTATGGCTTGGATTAGTCATAAACCATAAGAATGGAACTGAACAATTCAGGGTTGTATTACTACTAAATGTTAATTTATAGACAAAGGCTAACTGAAATATTTCCTACTTAATCACTCAGCCTTTCTATTCCAGATTTTATTGTGCATAGTTTCAGAGCTATAATCAAGCGAACAGAAACAGCTTTGAGCATCATTTTCATCACTCATTAATTCACCTGAAACTTTATGTTGCAAGTTGCCTTAGTATTTATTGGTTGTTAATAACGTAGTGCAATTGGTTTCTTTATATTTGCCTTCAAGTGTATAATTTGTACTGTTGTCGATTACTGCCTAATATGTATTGTGCAGAAAGCAAATAACCAGATAAAACATTTTAGAAAAGTATAATAATTCTTTCTTGAGCCCAGATGAAACCATACAGCAAGAAAAAGAAACCAGATTCACATTATTTTATACCATCCAGCGCATTCTGGGCCAATCAGTTTTGTATGGGGACCCTCAAGTGGGTCTCTTACACTTATACAATATGCAGCTCAAAATGGCATTGTTTTTGCCAGCCACGCTCAGAATTTTACCAAGGAGCATAAGACCTAGGAACAGAAGTAGGCCACTTGGCACTGAGACTGGTCCGTTATTCAATTGGCTCATGGATCACCAGGTTTCATTTGGATTTTCCAGTCTGCCCCCCATCCCAAAGCATCAACTCACATACATCAAAAATCTATCAAATTCAGCTTTGAATAATTGAAATGGACCACTTTCCAATGCTTTTCCTCATCTCTGCCTTAAAAGGGAGACATTGCATTCTTCAGCTCATGTTTCCCCTAGTTCTAGAATCCGCACAAGACAACATATTTTCCCAATCTCCACTCTTTCTCAGGATCTTACATACTTAAATAGGATTTCCTCTCCAAAGGTAAAGGCCCAACCTGTTCAGCTCTTCTTCAAAAAATAAATCCTTCATCCCAGCAATGAGTCCGGGAATTTTCTCTGAACTGCTTCCATTGCAACTACAGTAAACGTTTTATGATTCTGCACCGTTGGGACTAGAAGTGTCGGATTGATCAAATATTCTGGTTTATCAAGAGATCCACATAATCAATGTAAAAACACATATTAAGTAATAGAAACAAAGTGTAGGGGGTATATACATCATTGTTATACATTATTCACAGCATAAATCAGTTAAATAATGATGGAACATTGCCTGAAATAAAGCTTAGCAGCAGAAAGCCTTCTCAATCGCACTCTCAACTGACTACTTGGATATCGTGGTTGATTGTGGAATTTGAGAAGAAATTGACTCAAAATTGAATCAACTTTTGATATTTTATTTGGGCATTCGATGAACAATTATATTTACATGGCGGTAAATAAATTAAAAATTTACAATAATCGGATAGAAAAATTGGACAGGTAATTGAGGTATACAATTTTTGTTGGTTTATCAAGACTGCCAGTGCCAGTTAAAACAAAGTTTGCTGTACATTATTTTTGCAAATGAGACCAAATGAGACAGTTCTCCTGATTCTCCATCAGAACTGCAACAAAACGTCCTCATATTTACAATCAGTCCTCTTGTAATAAACACTGTATGCTTTCCAGATCACTTGCTGTTACTGCAAACTAACATTTTGTGACTAATGTAGCATGATACTCAAATGGCTTTGCACCACTCAGATCTCCACGCAAATATCATACTGTTTTTCTAT